CAGGCTCGCCGCCCCGGCACCGGCACGTAAGCCCCTCCCGCTGCCGCCCCTTCCCGCGCCCCGCGGGGTGCCTGGGGGCTCCAGGATCTGCCCCCCACTCAGTGCCTTCCTAGGACACAGGAGACCCTCGATGCGCCCGCTGCGCCCCGGGCGGCGCCCGCCGGAGTGCCGGAGAGGAGGCGGCCCCGCTCGGCATCTCCGGGGCGCTCTCCAGCTCCCTGGTCCTTGGCACCCATGTCCTCCTGCAGCTTCCAGCTCTTCTGTCCCCAGGCCTCAAGCAGCTCCCCCCGCGGGGAGCCCTCTCCAAGAGGCGGGGACAGCCGAGGGCCTGGCTCAGACACCCCTGAACCTCCCGCCCCGGCGGGGGAGCCAGTGCGCATGCGTGCATGGCTGCGCAGGTGCGTGCGTGCCTGCGTAGGTGCGTGCGTGCGTGCGTGCCGTGTCCTGCTTGCGGGCAAGCGGGAGTCCTCTATAACCCGGATGCCACTGCTCCAGGGTATCCGCCATGTTTGCTCATGTTCTCACTTTGCCTCTCAGTCAGGTGAATTGCTGTGACATTCCAAGCTCCAATAAAAGAGTTTGACCTGTGACTATTCGTTGAAAAACATGACACACTTATGGTCCCTCCATGCAGGGACCATAGCCACTATTGCTGCTTGAATTGTGTCCCCAACGGATGTGTCCCCAGGGTCTGGGAAGGTGGGCTTATTTGGAAATGGCCTTTGTGGCTGTAATGAAGTTAAACTGAGGTCATATGGGATTAGGGTGGACCCTCATGCCATGATGGACTTCTTGGTAAGAAGAGGGAAAGTTAGGCGCACAGACTTGCAGAGAGAAGAGGACCACGAGAGGGTCGAGTGTGGTAGCACACACCTGTCACCCCAGCACTAGCGAGGCTGAGGCAGGAGGGTCACTCAGGTTCGAAGCCAGTCTGGGCTACGTAGTTCAAGGCTGTGGAGGACCACCTAGGCGACTCTCCTTGAAAGAGGAGCAATTGCCTCCATTGTGGCTGAGCCTGACCTATTTCCATGTACTGATGTGTACAGAGCTGGCTGGGACTTTTCCTTATCCCTTCAGTTGGCTTTAGGCAATGCACATCGGTCCAGCTGAGGTGCGGATGGGGGTCTTCGGAGATGGCGGGCGTGTTTCCCCAACCACCCGCCACTGTTCCCAGTGAGCCGAAATGAGGCGGGATGTGTGAGCCAGTGCTCCACGCTGTGGGATCGAGCCTCTGGAATGGAGGCTGTGACTTCCTGGGGCTTCAGACATTACACAGCAGAGCTGAAGCACCGACCCCAAACATTAGAGACTACCTCAGTTGTGTTACGCGGGCTACTCTGTCTGCATACCCTTCTCTGCATGTGCAGAGGTGATTTCAGGCCTCCTACCCAGCCCGGCTCACAGACTCACGTATTTCCTGCTGCTCTCACAGCCTCTCGTCCTCAAGCCACTCCCTTCTTCATGAATGATTAAAACCTGAGTTTGGCCTTGGGTGGAGGCCTCTGTTCCGGATGGCCGTCATCATGGCTGGACTCGGGACCCCCTGGCTCCCCATAACGACAAATATGCTTTAGTGTCTTTTTTCTCGCCATGGGTTGCACTGGAAGTGGTAGATTGGAATTAACTTCCTAGAATTCTAGTAACTTGTCCATGGGATTACAAATATAAACTTCCTGGGCCCTGACGAGGACCGGGAAGGGCTCGCTAAAAGGCAGCCTGAGCCCTGTCCCAAACAAGCCAAGAAGAGAACTAAACACAGGAGTGGGGCCCGGGGACAGGTGGCAGCCACTGGTGAGGCAGGGAGAGAACGCCGAGGGTGCCGGAGCTGCGGACACCTTGTTCTCACCCCTGGCTCAGCAGGAAGGCGTATTTCTGTGGTTTTAGGTCACCGACAGGTGCCACTTTGTTATGGCAGCCCCATGGGGCAAACGCGGCCTCTACCCACCTGAGCGAAAGCCCCACTGCTCTGCCACTCCCCGAGCTTTGCCCCCCTGTTCCTTCTCCCCAAGTGTCCCCACTCAGCCCTTCTCTCTCTCTCTCTCTTTTTTTTTTTGGTTTGTTTTGGTTTTTTCCCGGTACCAGGAATTGAACTCATGACCTCATGCTTGCCAGGCAGGCACTGTGCCGCTGAGCTAAATCCCCAGCCCCCCACTCAGCCCTTCTCTCTACTGCACCTGGCTGAGGCTGGGCCTTGCCTGTGTCCCGCTGTCACTGCCCCTTCCACCCTTGTGCTGGCCCTTGTGCTCCCTCATCTTTTGCTTTAGATACTTCGATTTTTCACTGGGCTTCTTAGGCGTCTTAAGAATGTCCATGGAGCAGACTGGCTCTGAATTCACAGGGAGCCTCCTGCCTTCGCCTCCCGAGTGCCTGGATTACAGGCATGCGTCACTACGCCAGCATGAACCTTTGGAAACCAGCGTGCAGAGCCATTCCCCTGTGCCCGCCTCGCAGAGCGCCCAACCAGCCAGCCTGCGTTCTGCTTCCACCTGCCTGAATAGCTGGGTTGAGACAGACCCCATCTCAAAGTCATTTTTCTCCCGAGTCAGCTTGGAGCACACCACTGTGGCTAGCTGGGGTCTCCCTCCCCTGGCTGGGCAAAGGACAGAGCCTGGAAGCAAGGGGAGCACCGGGATCCAGGAAGGGGACAGAGGGAGGCAGAGGCACGAGGTGTCACCTCATCTGCCCCGGATCTTCCAGCCCCACACTGCCCCACCCAGAGGTAATTATAAAAAATTCAACTATTGAGTAGCTGATGGAGACATTGAATTGCAAGGGGCCAAAAAGTTTGAAAATACTTCTGCAGATTCTCTGTATGGGTCTGTGTGTTTTGTTTGTTTGTTTGTTTGTTTGTTTGAGACAGTGTCTCACTATGTAGCCCAGGCTGGCCTTGAACTTGCAGAGATCCTCCTGCTTCAGCCTCTCTGGTGCCGGGATGACCAGTGTGCGACACTATGCCTGGCTCTGCGCTGGGCTTGCTCCCACTGTGGCCTGTTCCTGGGACAGATGCTTAACCAGGCACCTGGCCCTAGGGTTGTTTGGGGGATGGGTCTCCTCTGACTCTCCCCCCACGACGGCTGGCCGAGGCCCCGCTCCCCGAGGACGTGAGAGGAGGCTTCTCCTCCTGCCTCTGCACCCCCATCTTTTTTGTCTCTGTCCCCTGAAAGCAAGAACACCAACGGAAGTCCCCAGCAAGCTTGAGGGGCTGAATGAGACAGGACGCTGGGCAGGGTGGCCCCAGGGGCTGGGAGAACTTGGCCTTGGGTTTGGGGTTCTAGGATGCTTCCCGTGTCTCCCTTACATAAGTTGTTCAGAGCAAAGAAAGTCGCTGGGTCCTTGACAGATGTGTCAGACCCCGACGGAGGAGGGGCTGCTAAGTCCAAGCCTTGGGCCTGTCCCCCGCGGGGCCGGAACCCCGGGCAGGCCGGCCTGGAGGCCCCTCGCGTGAGGGAGCCCTCGGAACGAAGGGGCTGGGCCCAGGCCAGAAGTGGGGAGGGGCCGGCGACGGCCGCGGCATCCCTCGGTTCCCCACACGGGGCGCGATTCTCCGAGCATCCTCAAGGGGGCGCGCGGGCCCTAGAAAGGACCCGTTCCGCAAACCCGGGAGCCCCACCTGACAGGTGGCTGCACCCCCATCGCCCCTGAGCACGTGGGTGTGGTGTGGCTCGGGTCTGAAGTGACAGATGGCAGCGCAGTCATCTTTCACAGCTCCGATTCCTGCCAATTTCCAGCCACTCACCACGGCCCCTTCCCGACGCAGCACTCCTGACCCAGGACACCCTGTTCTGTGGGCCTGGATGGGGGTCCCCAACTTCTCCCAGACACCGCAGAAGGGTGGTCGGCCACAGACCCCCACCCCGGACGGACGGCCTAGGACCCCCGCCCTGGGGCCATCGGAGGAGGGCTTTTCCCTGTCCCACCTCTGCAGCACCAGGGCCCAGCCTGTGCTGGAGTAGGGGCTCCTAAAATAATAATAATGAATAGAAGGCTACCATGTATCTCCCCGAAAGGGCAGGGGTCTGGAGTTGGCCAAGGGGCTCTGCAGCTCAAGCTGGCCTTGTATAACAGGAATCCCCCTGCCTCAGCCTCCCAAGTGCTGGGATTGCTGGGGTGTACCACTGCACCTGGCCTCTTTTTTTTTTTTTTTGGTCTTTTTGAGACAGGGTTTCACTGTGCAATTCAGGCTGGCTTTGAACTCACAGCAGTCCTCCTGCCTCAGCCTCCCGAGTGCTGGGATTACAGGCCTGTGCCGCCATGCCTGGCTTCATTTCCTTATTTTAAAAAAGTCCTAAACCGGTGATGGAAGTGCAGGCTAGAACCTCAACACTGTGGGAGTATGAGACAGGACGATCCCAAGTTCAAGCCCAGCCTGGGCAGCTTAACAGTGTAGTGAGAACCTGGCTTGAAATTAAAAAAAAAAATGTAGGGCTAGGGGTGTAGCTCAGTGGTAGAACACTTGCCTAGAATGTACCAGGCCCTGGGCTCAGCACTGAAGAATGAATGAATGAATGAATGAATGAATTAATAAAACCTACAAAGACAAAAACAAAGAACAAAAGAAGGCTGGGCATGGTGTCACACAGCTGTAATCCTAGAACTTGGCAGGCTGAGGCAGGAGGATCACTGAGAATTCAAGGCCAGCCTGGGATACACAGTGAGACCTTGTTTAAAAAAAAAACACAAAACAGGCTGAGGCTGTAGATCGGTGGGAAGGCCTTGAGTTCAATCCCCAGTACCACAACAAAACCAAACTTCTGGAAGCCTTCTAGTGAGATTATAGGTTTAGGTTAAATTATAATGCAGCCGGTGACTTGGCCCTAATAAAGCAGATTGCACGGACACCCGGGGAAGCAGAAACCCATGCCTCGAGGACTGTCATTCTGAGGTGTGAACCCCGCTTCTGAGAAGAGCATTCAGTAGTCATTAATCAGAGATCGCTCTCCGTGGGATTTTGAGAGGAAATGAACACATTAACAGAAGGAAAGACTCTTAAGACCCCGTGCGCCCGGCCACCTCCGTTCATCGGGTCACAGGACGGTGTCCTGCCTCAGGGGCTGGCAGTGGCCCACCTGTTCCCTGAACCCCGTCTCTGTGAGGGCGACACGAGCCTTGGATTCCGCTCTGGGCTCTGCTGTTGCCCAGCTCGAATGATAGGTGTTTACTATTGGCATTTGAGACATGGTCTCGCTATGCAGCCCAGGCTGCCCCCGAACTCACAGCAATCCTCCTGCCTCAGCCTTCCGAGAGCGGGGGGTGACAGGCGTGCGCCACAGCGCCCGACTACTACAGGAGTTGCCCATCATCACTGGGCAAGCGTCAGCCATGGTCAGCCCTTGTGGGCTTGACTTCGGTATAGATGCCCAGCTGCGGGAGAATCAGGTGACCGCGAGTCTAGTCGCGGCTCCATCCGTGGCTCCGCTGAGAAGCTGGGGTGCCCTCTTGTGGATGCTTGAGGAATTTCACGCAGTCCTCTCCATCCCCCAAATTGACCACCCACAGACCCCCTGCGAGGTGCGGGGTGCGAGGTGCGGGGTGGGGGGTCTCTTGTTAAGGACATAAAAGGCACTGGGGTCCCAAGATGGAATTTCATCAC